AGGTAAAAATATGTGCAATACTGTGAACCCAAAAACTGATATTGACACACATTCCTGATTTAAACTTTGTCATTATAAAGATATTTTTGGACAAGTAAATTTTACTTTCTCTGGTGCCTCATTCTGGGCAGAATTTATTCAACACTGACTGATAATACATTAAAGAATTTAGATAGGTTTTCTAACAAATATATACATGTCATAAACATATGAAAGTGAACTTAAACATTTTCTTTGTTCTTGAAAATTGACGACAAAAATAATAAACATTATTTATTATATTGTTTATTTACGCTATTTATTTATTATATTATTTCTTGGAATGATTGTCAAAATCAGCTGATTGCTAATTGATTCAAACTTTATCCTCGGTCCATGGCATTCTTAGCATCATCTGTAGAACCATAACTATGTTGCCTAAAGTCTCTCCTGCATTTTTGAGGAAACCGTCCAACATTTGCTGACATAAAGGAGGACAGATATCACGTAACTGTTCCGTACTTTTTTCTTTGTTATCAACGAAACTCTGCTATCTCATAATACTCTGCCTAGCTTTTGGAATGTGTCTTTGGCCATCCCAATATATCTTCAGATCTCAGCATCACACTTACCGTCCTCTGTCAGAACATTTCCCAGATATTTAAATTTCTGCACCTGCTTGATTTTAGTGTCTCCGACCTGTACATCATATTTCAGGCTCATCTTTTTACTGATGACCATGCATTCTGTCATCTTGTAGTTTATGCTTAGTCCCTTCTTCTCATTCTCCTTCATTACCTTTTGTAGGAGGTTTCGTAGTTTCCTTTCTGTGTCTGCTATCAGCACTGTGTCATCTGCGTAAAATTGTTTCCTTTTAATCTTTTTTATCAGTTAAGAAATCAGTTTGCTTCCATATGTCGGACACGAGCGAGTGTCACTTCAGACGTGTTTGAAAAGTCAACTTGTATGGATGAGAGCCAATCTGCTGACGAGCTCCCTTCTTATGAAACACCCCCTGTATCAGCTAAATCAACTGAAGACAAAAGCTTCAAAAGTAAGAATTTATTTCAACAAATCTATCTATATTGCATGTCTTAAATAAAATGTAACTTTTTTTGAATATATTACTATTTTGAATTAATTTTTAGTTTTTCATCTTAGTTTATATTTCTATATTTTTATTTTTCATTTTTTATTTTAATTAATATACAGTAATTAATATTTTAATTAATATACTCTATTGCTGCATTCCATGTCATCTCTAACTTCAGTACTTCTGATCCCAATGCTAAATCCTTGATTGCATCAATGAAGAACAATTTCTTTTTCATATCTTACTTTATTGTACAAGGGACAAGAGTTCATATCATTTCTAGGTGGAAGTAGATGATTCAGAGGGTGCAGGCTGGCTCTATGGCTTAGTATTTCGCCATGTGCTGGCTAGCATTATGAAAGAATCCGGATTTGGGAATCATGTTGACTTCTCAAAATTCTTGCATTCATCTCACTGTATTTGACATTTTGGTCTTATATCCCAAACTTCAACAGAGGCAATCCCTCGCTGTCAGAATGCCATGCCCACGGGATCTGCATGTGATGTGCATTCACATTTGAAATCCATACTATTGTTATAAATAATACATTCAAGTGAAGTAAACCAATCCTATTTAACTAATATATATATATATATATATATATATATATATGGCTTGTGTACATCTCACGCACACACACACACACACACACACACACACACACACATATATTATTATTGTTATTATTATTAATAATAACTTTGGTGTATATGACACAAGCAGATTTTAACAAGGTAAGAAAAGTGTGACTTAGAAACACAAAAAATATCGTATTTATATTATCCAGCTTTGGCACAAGGTCATGTTGCTGCAGCATCCGATGAAGAACAAACTTATTGCCAATAGGTTAACATTAACCCATTCACCACTGTGAATGTTACAAAGAAGAAAGCTACCAGCAATGTTATGTAAAAAATAGTATTTGTAATCATGAGACAAAGTGAAAGAGCAATCAGTTAGTCAAGTGCTATTTCATCAGCAGTTTTCAGAAATTCTAGATGTTAGAAATGGCACCAAAAATTCTAAATTCTTTGTTTTTGTAATATTGAAATAAATTTTGCCTTATTTACATATGTAGGCATTTATATTATATATATGTGTGTGTGTGTGTGTGTGTGTGTGTCTTTGAAAATTCCAGAAGTTAGAAATGGCTACTGAAAATTCTTTGTTTCTGTTGTGATATTGAAATAATATTTATATTATTTACATATGAGTGCATTGACTTATATATATTTGAAAATTGTGGAAGTTAGAAATGGAACTGGAAATTCTTTGATCATTTACATTTGAATGTATTGAGATATATATATATATATATTTACAGCAAAAAAAAACAAAAATTACCTCAACATGGATTTGTTTTTTTGCTGTAAAAAAATACTCTGTTATAATAAATACATCAAGTTCTCTGTGAATCAGTTTTAATATTACTAGGATTCACCCAGATTATATACCAACAGATTGATTACCTGTACTATATATATATATATATATATATATATATATATATATATATATATGTGTGTGTGTGTGTCTTCGAAAATTCTAAAAAGTTAGTAATGGCACTGAAAATTCTTTGTTTCTGAGCTGATTTTTATTTTGTTCTACCAGTGACAAACAGTAGTCCAGCCTCAATGACTGAGGGAGATACAGGGTCAGGGTCCCCACTAATGAGCCTCCTCAGCTCAAGCCAAGAAATCCTTGATAATGAAGTAAAGCGGCAGAAGAAGAAGAAGAGTCTAGGATCACTGACCAAAATGTTTTCCAAACCCAGAAGTCGGCGTTCAATGGCACTGGCCAGTGAGTCAGAATTGGAGGGTAAGTGAAATAATTCCAGTCTATGAAAATGCAATTGTTTCTTTTTAATGTTTTCTTCAATCTTTACACAAATATTCCACATTCTTCATTGTATTCATATAAACCATTTGCCATTTTAGGAAATGCGTTACACATAAAAAAAGCTACCAGCAATGTTATGTAAAAAAGTAGTATTTGTAATCATGGGACAAAGTAAAAGAACAGTCAAGTGCTATACACAGTAAACACCTGGACAATCATGTTTCTTTCAATTCACAACTGACTAGGCAGAAGATTTCCCACAATCAACTACCATTTCTTTCTGTAGTAAACCACGCCTAGTTTATCCTGCTATTCAACCCATAGCTGGTGGGAGAAGAGATGGATTTGTACCTTTCCCAAGGTCATTTGCTCATAAATGAATATAATAAACCTGACTGAAATTCAAACTCAGCTCTTCAATTTCTTATTCTGAACCATTATCAACAACGTACATCCTGAACGAACAATGCTAAAAGTAAAAATATAATCCAACTTACCCACTTCATTGACAGAAACAAGGATGGAAGTAAAGCTAAGTGCATTATGGGCAAAAGTTCTATTATTTGGTTGATTTGTTTTTTTGTTTTTTTTTGGCCTTATGGGTTATTTAAATGATTTTTCCAGCTGTAAGTCCTACTAGTTAACCTATAGTTGGGGAAGGAGATGGATTGATACCTTTCCCAAAGTTATTTGAGCATAAATAAATGTTACAAACTTGACTGGAATTTGAACTCACGTCTCCAATTTCACATTCCACTGTCCATTACACCACCCACACATCAGTCCAACATCAAAAATATAATGATCTAGGGTTTATATGCTAGGTAAGTATAGAACTGGTAAATTTTGTTCCATGCCAATTTTAGATTCTGGACAGAAGTGTTTATTCTTTCAAAAATTTTACCAAATAATAATTAAGGTCGTCTGATAATGAAATCAACACTTTTTTTTTTTTTTTTACCACAAACACGAAATCACTAAAGTCACCCACATCAGCGCATTTACAATTAAAGAAAAGGATAAGCAGCTTCCAAAAAAGTCTGCCTAAGATTGCACACTGGAAAAAAGAGTGCTCAATGCCATAAGAAATGGCAGACATTAGTGGAATTTTTTTCTTTTTTTTGGTTTTTGGCTATTTTAATCTTGGCCAGATAGGTTACCCTCCCCACTGGCGACTTTGGTTGGCTCACCATTTTGGACGTGCCTGATGGCATAACGGTTCCTATTTTATGAACTACAGCTACTGACCAACTGATGATTGTGTGAAAGAACATGAAACTAGCAGTCATGGTCAGTCACTGCCCACCTCGAATTTGACTTAAAATATATATTAGCTCTGTCATTTTTTATGGCATTGAGCACTTTTTCCAGTGTGCAGTCTTAGGCAGACTCCTTTTGGAAGCTGCTTATCCTTATCTCTAATTATATATATATATATATATATATATATATATATACACACATAATATATATTAGACAAAAAATTAGCAATAATTAGTTTTAAAAAAACAAAATAAACTCTTAAACAAGAAAACTGAAATAATGGGTAAATGTAGGCATATAAATAATTGCACCTGGAGATATATGTATGTATGCATAGCTATAATGATGTGAATATATATATATATATATATATATATATATATATATATATATATATATATATATGTGTTCCTATAGTGATAGGTATATATATATGTGTTCCTATAGTGATAGGTATATATATATGTGTTCCTATAGTGATAGGTATATATATGTATTCCTATAGTGATAGGTATATATATGTATTCCTATAGTGATAAATATATATATATATATATATATATATATATATATATATATGTGTTGTATATATATATATATATATATATATATATATATATATGTGTGTGTTCCTATAGTGATAGGTATATATATATATATGTGTGTGTGTTCCTATAGTGATAGGTATATATATATATATATGTGTGTGTGTTCCTATAGTGATAGGTATATATATATATATATATGTGTGTTTCTATAGTGATAGGTATATATATATATATATATATGTGTGTGTTCCTATAGTGATAGGTATATATATATATATATATATATATATATATATTTTGAACAATAAGAAAATTAAAAAATTAAAATCATTAGACACACTGGGTTGTAGATTAATATTCTTTCGTTTTTTTATTATTATTATTATTCCATTTAGATTCCTCGACTAGTTTCAACCGAAATGGCCATCATCGGGAGGCGAAATATTTCTGCTTGCTGTTGGCAAGGAACTACAGAAATGAATGTCTTTTGTTGGAGAAAATGAACTTTTGTCTGTAGTTTTCATTTGTTTTTTTATTTTTTTATCTTTTTCACATGAATCTTTTAACATTCCTTGTGTTGGTCAAACAGTCTCTTTTAAGTTGTTATTTGATATAAGAACTGGATGGATACATTTTATCCTGAATTCTCTGGTCAGTTTGACAGTTTTATTGGACCTGATGAGGGATGTGTCTCTGTTTAGTGTTTTGTGTGTGTTATTTGGTTCTTAGGGAGTGAGTGAGTATGATATGTGTAAACGTGTGTATTGCTGTAGGTGTGTGTTATCATTTGGCTCATTAGGGAGTGAGTGAGTATGGTGTGTGTACGTGTGTATAATCGTGTGGGTGAGTGTATAAGTGTGAGGCCTCCATTCCTCCTTAAGCATGTCTGTCTTGTGTGGGTGAGAAATGTGGGTAGGTTTTGATTTGTTGATTGTTACTATTATATGTTGTTAAATTTATGATTTAGCCCGGCTGGGTATTGTGTTTTTAGACGTTGTATCCACTTATTTTCATGGGACTCTAAAATCTTTCTAATGTTATCTGCTCTGAACTTTTCTATTCTCTCAATTATAGTGAATCTGGCATGGGTTTTGAAATCGTGTTTTTCTAGGCGGAAATGTTGTTCTACAGGTAATAACTGTTCATAGGGAGTCGATTTAATTAAGCTTACGATAATTATTAATTCTGTAGTTAAAGGGCCATTCAGATTTTCCTACATATTGTTTCTGGCATAGTGTGCATTCTAGGAGGTAAATTATGTTTTGACTTCTACAGTTAGAATCGTGGTAGATTTTGAAAGTAGATTTAGTGATTGAGCTAGTGAATGAATTCGTGTTTTTAATATGGTTGCAACATAAACTTCTTTTGTTGTTACATGGTTGGGAAAATCCTGTTGTTTTTGTTCTCAGTTTCTTACGGATTACACCTTGTCCCCTGAAATGTGGTTACTACCTATGATTTCTTTTAGGTTCTTAGGTCTACGATATGCAAGAAGGCCGGGTTCCTTAAGCAGTTTTTTTTAGGGTCTGGTTTATAGATATATATATAATATATAGATATATATATATATATATATATATATATATATATATATATATGTATGTGTGTTCCTATAGTGATAGGAATATATATATATATATATATATATGTGTACCTATATGTATACATACAGATAATAGCCATATCAAGTTGAAACACTGGTTCTGCTATGATTACTGAAGTTAAGTAATGTCAAACCTAGTTGGTACTTGACCACTTGGTGACATCAAGTGTTTTAAATTTGGATATGTTGGTGGTGTAATGGAGAATGGCTTGAAATTGGAAATCGGGGAGCCAAGTTCCAATTCCAGTCAGGTTTGTTATAGTCACTTATGTGCAAATACTTTTGGGAAGTGTATGAATTCAACTTCCCCCCCCTCCCCTGATATGGGTTCATTAGTAGAACTTATACCAGTAAAAATCCTTATCTCCAAAAAATTCTTACAATCTAATAATACTTTTTGGTTTTAATTAACCTGCAAAAGGATGAAAAGCTACAAAAAGTAAATCAATCAGTCCATGTGGTATTAAATCAAATTAACAGGGTTTCAAATAGTCTAGTACTTTTTGAAGATATATGAGCTGTGTTATTTAGGGTTTTTTAACTTCAAAATATACATTATCTATATAACAGCAGTATATTGGTAAGTTAAGAACATCCTGTAAGATAATTTTATGTTGCTGTTCAAATCACAGAACACTAGCATAATTGACATGTCACTTACATTCTTACTACAAGTTTGGACATTTGAATAAAGATAGGAGTCAACACTTGTTAATATTGTAATTGTGAAAGAAGTTACAAAGAAAATTTCTATAGAAAAAAGACCGCTGTTTCTTTTATACATTATATATATATATATATATATATATATAAACTTAAAAGTTGTGGGCAGCAATTAAGCTAGCTCCTGTAGAGGGCTTTTTATTGGGTCTTCAGCTTGTTTAGGAGTTTGAGAGTCCTGAAAACATTGCATATTCTCAGTATTGAAAGCTCTCCTGGCAACCATTTGATCTAAGTTTTCATTTACATGGGACTTTCTTTTCCATACTGCAGCCCTGGCTCTTTTGATTGCAACATGGCCCTCTGCTAGATTTCTTTTTTGCAAGGCATACTGCTGCTTCATGCAATAGGCAATGATAAACTAAAGGAGAACTCAAAATTGATCACTGCATTTAAGTATTGCATTAATATTTAAGCTTACCTTTTAAAAGTTCAACAATAATTCTTCTGCCAC